TTCGTCAGATTAGGGTCATTTGCAGTGATGTGCAGTAATATGAAACTGTTTTCGGGCTGTATGATGAAATTTGTTTGGACTTGAAAAATATTGTGTCATCCGTGATTGCATCAGATTAATATCACGCACATACACTATTATCTCGACTGTCGATTAGTTGTCCTACGGTCATTGTTTGTGATGGACGTTACTCCAAGAAAGTTTATGAAAATTGGAACGCTGCACGAACACACTGACAACCCTTACTAGTGAGCAAATCAACGTACTGTATACTGGCTCGGAAACTCTCCTGATTTAAATCCAATTGAGAATTTGTGGTCAATCAGCAAGGAACGAATTCGTGGAATAGTCTTACGAACTACCAATATGTGCACTGGATTTTGTTTCTTTGGAGAATACTAAAAAACTAAATAATAATGGAATTCTTTTTTTTAAATACTTTACACAATGCTGTAATGCACGAAGCAAGAAATGAAATGAATAGAAAGGATTGAACATAGTTCCGTAAAATTTACTTAAAACTACAAGCAACAATGGGATGTTAATTCTAATTCCACCAAAACGAAAATAATTCCTCTCTGCAAACTGTCATTTTTGTCTTCCACCAGGATATCTGATGATAACCGTCTAGAAAGTGACTTATTGTGCCTTCTCGTTCTTAATCTTTTTCGTTGACATTTGCAAAGATTATATTGAATAAACTGCTAGTTACGCTGCAAGGAATGTTGGCTCTCCGTATTGTGCTAGAATTTATCCCCCCACTCCGAAGATTTATCTTCCACATTTGTAACTCTAGCATTCGCCCATGCATTGTATACTGCTGTCGAATGTAATCTGTGTCTTCTTCTGTGTACTTTGAATTCATGATAAAATCCAAAGAAGAATACGTAATGTTTTCGGTCATAACATAGCATATCGGTGTCAGGCACTCTTTTAACACCGTAATGTAGATATATAGTAATATAGTTTTCTATAAATATTTTAATGGTAATTGTTCTAATGAATTGTGCGGAAGTAACCGTAAGTTCTATGCTAAATATCTCCTCTCTCACACTTTTCACTTGTAGAACCTTCTTCCGGCTTCTTTTTCTCCAAGTTTACTGTTCAAAATTTAAATTCAATATCAATCGTTAACGTTTGTCTTTATACTTCCCGTTCTTTTATTTTTGTCTCTCGTTAACAAATTTTCACATTCAATACTTTCACATTCACTAAACGCTTCCCACATGGTCCTGCATCAAGGTCAGAAAGTCATTATGATTGCATTGTATATCATCACCTAATTGGTCAATGTAATTTGTCGCTGGGTGACCAATACATCTTATCCTATTGTTAGGTGTCCAGAGCATTAGATCACTCGCGAGTTCTTGTTTTGCTCGTTAGTAGTATCCTGCAAAGAGCATTCTGCGATCGCGCAAGATTGTAGACATATCAGGGATATGTCTACATAGAGTTGTGATTATTTGGATATTGTCTACAAGAAATGTTAAATATAGTTCTCTGCATCCGAGTGTAGATTACAGCAAGCTTAGAATCTTGGGTTTTAGTTCATGTCCAAAGCCACCCCTACAGTTGATCGAAGTAATCACCGCTTGGGGTTATCTGGTAAATCAGGTTTCCAGATTACATTTCTTTTATTCAAGGTCACCGAACTTTAGATATAAGAATTTTCAAACCCGTTTCAAGAGAATTTATCTCGTTTCTTAGGTATCTAAATGTATCGGCATATTTTATTGATTCATCTGAGACAGTTTTTTATCGACCTTTGCTGGTTGGTGTCTATCGGTTCAGTTTTAGAGGCGTTGTCATACTTAGGTGAACTATTTTTAAATAAAAGTTTAGCTGTGTTTGAACTTCGAATTAAATAACTCAAAGATGATTAAATTTGTTTCATTTAAATATGCCTGCATGAATTATTGCTCTACAACATGAACCCAAAGAAAATACCTTTTTAAAAATCAGCTTAGTCTCAGCTTCACTATAAAGAACCCAGAGATTGTTGAAGGTCCTTCATTATAATCTGTTTCCTTACCCCATCACTCTACAAAATGCGACTGAAGAAGATATCGATTAAATCGGCTTAGTTTGAGGTTCGAAATAAACGACCTAATGATGATTGAAGTTTCCTAGTAAACACTGTTTACTTGAACTATCGCTCTATAACAGGTGCCTGAGATAATTGGCTCCGTTTAAGCTTCCAAGTATAGGACACAATGATGATGAAACTTGTTTAATTAAACTTTTATTTCCTTGATCCTCCCATCTCCATAAGACAGCTGAAGAAGATATTAGTTAAAATAAGCTTAGCTTGAGCTGCGGATTAAGGAACACAGTCATTATTGAAGGTTCCAAATAAGTATTCTTTACTTGGAACATTGTTGTGAAGGACTTGACTCTTTTGAAATCTTAATCAATATTCAGTAATAAATTGCATTGCGTTTGTAATATAATCACATATTTTATATTGCTACCGTTTTTTTTAGGAATTTATGGGTGTGTACTAATTCCTCAAAATTAGACTTAAGAAGACATTGCACGACTATTAGCTTTATTCTGATACTGGTCAATGAATCAGGCGTAAGCTTTTGACGAGTACCGGTTTTTATAGCAAGGGAAATATACTTTGTTCCATTAGTAAATACACAGAGCGATTTTGTTTCTTCTTTCATATGGAAGATCCCATTAGGGGATCGGCGAGCATGACTCTCCACAATTTACTCTCTTTTGCAAGCAAGTCCAAGCAAATATTTAGCAATTTCAAATTCATCTTCGTCCTTGTTTTTTCATCCATTCCCGCCAACTCGTCAGTCAGATGCCTCACTCTGTCAATTTACTTCAGTATGAACTGTTAGTGTTATATTGTCCAAAATATGTTTCCTTATTTGTCATCCAAGAAATCTGAACATTCACTTTTTAACTATGAATATCAGTTCCTTTCTAGTTCCTATTTTTCTTCAAAACGTCATTTACTGTTCATTCCTTATTAGAATCACATCGGTTAATTCCTCTCTTTTCATTATTGATAAGGAGATTATTGTATTCAACGCCAAGGAGGAGTTCTCCCATATATATAGTAAACTTATATAATTATATAGCATTGTATAATATGTGCTTATAAGGATAATTTAATATCTCTTAACACTATGCTTAGTTCCAGAAAGCCATCTTAAGCTCTACCTATCCACAATGCGGATTTATGTGTCACATGTTTCGTTCAATCTTACTACATTAATAAAATAGTTAAATTTATGTAACTACTTGATTTGTAGTCTCTAATAAATAGCCCATATCTTGTGAAGTCTCCTTGTTGAAAACCGCGCTTTTTGTCTTCATGTTTAGTTTTTCCCTCTTTCTCACTTCTACAATGTTGTTAACTATTTATTCCAGGTTTTTTTTTTTCGCGAATTTAATATTGTAAAGATTATTTTCGCGAATATATATATTTGTGTCTCTTTTAGTACACGATGTATCATCGTCAAATTCCTTTTATTTGGTTCAGTGGATTAGACTAGTGGGTAATGATTACTTGCATTTCTTTCTATTCTTTCTCGTGCTCTACTTTATCAAATAAGCCTTTTATAATCTATGAAATATACGTCCAGGCCATTCCGTATTTAACTACTTAATAATGATAGTGTGATCCGTGTTCTCAGTGCATATATCTATTGTACATTTAACGATTGAAGAAAAATAGCGAAACTCCATATATATATATATATATATATATATATATATATATATATATATATATATATATATTGAAATGTAACATACAAAACAATCATGTAAGGAAGTGTAATGATTAAGGAAAAAAAGCTGTCCCCTTCATATGATTGAATGTTCGAAAGAGTTTCCCTTGAATAAGAATATTCAGGATTCTATGTTGAATAGAGTTTGCTGTTAGAATAGAATAAAGTTAATTAAAAAATGTGCTGTTTTGAGAAATTAATAGAGTGCTGGTTCATCAACTTGGCTCAGTCACAGAGAGAGATATGTATAATGTTTTAAAAAATCTGTCTCTGTGTGTGTTTGAAATGTTGTGAGTAAAGTCGTAGATTTGTGTGGACAGGCGAAAATAGATGGACTCTACTGACGGGTTGCGAGAAAGTCGGTAAGAATTGTTGGCAATGTTCTTTAACATCTGACCGCACGGTTAAGAGGGAAGCTCTTGAAGATTACATCTTGGCAGCTAGGAAAAAGTTGAATGAAGAGAACACGAGAGAGGCTTATTCACGCTTTGTTTATATAAGGTTGTGTCTCACGAGACAGGCTCCAGCCTTGAGCGCGGGAAAATTATTCCACGCGTGCAGGCGATTTCATTGGTCGGGATTGACTAATCAGCAAGCTAGTTTTATAGAGATGAGACAATGAATGCTTGCCGTATGATATGTATATATGTATATGTGTGTGTGATGGCGATGATGATCGCTACAATAGAATTCTGATAATAATTGTAGCATTTCCTCTCCTTCTGTAATGAATATATCCATTTTGTTCTTCACTAATTTTCTTTAATTCTGCTAAGCATGTGAAATATTATTTTCATGCTGATTGTTCGATGTAATTTGAGCCTTGTTAATTTGCTAAGGCTATAAAGAAGAACTTTCTGTTGTCTTCTGATCATTTGCCATGAAAGTGGTAGCTTGCTATGATAGATAGATAGATTTCATAGAATTCAGTTATATAATTTGGTATGAGATATATGACAAGAATAGAAAAAAATAAAGAAACAAATAAATGCATGGACATATTTAAATAGAGTAGATGATCATAGATAGATAGATAGATAGATAGATAGAGAGAGAGAGAGAGAGAGAGAGAGAGAGAGAGAGAGAGAAAACAACATGCACCGATATTAAAATACACCGAAAGAAAAAGAAAGAAAGAGGAAAGAAAGGATGAATTAATGAACGAATGTAAAAAAAAAAAAATAAGAAAAGAAAGAATGTACGAAACAAAGAAAGGAATTGATTGAAAGATTTAAATAATATACAATATGATCATAGATAGATATACGGCATGAATGAGAAAGAAAGAATTGGATTGAAAGATTCAAAAAGTGCGACATATGAACAAAGATAGATAGATAGATAGATAGAGATATAGATAGATAGATTGATAGATAGATAGAAAAATTGTAGTAAATACAGAAGACACATATAAACAGAGACACATATATACAAACACTTATATGTGTGTGCTTGTATATATATATATATATATATATATATATATATATATATATATATATAATATATATATTTTAAAAAATAAAAATATTTTAAAAAAATAAAATTCGTTTTTACACGCAGGGTTTCGTTTTTATTATTATTATTTCATTTATATATATATATATATATATATATATATATATATATATAGGAAGATTTATGAAAAAAGACCCTGAGCTAAATAAATATCTAAGGAGAGAAATGACTTACCGAATGGCAGCTCATTATATATGCCTCTGTTTTTCATTACTTCACTTTTGGCGTGTTTGCAAGGCCGTCAATATGTATTCTTTGTTTATAATAGGGTGACATTTTCGTCTTGTATTGTTTGTCATGTGAAGAATGTGTACATCTAATTAGCTCTGTCTGTGTTTCTACTGTCTCCATCTTTATTGATAGACACGTAGCAGATTAAATAAGATCTCTTATCAGAGTTCAATATACCTCGAGTAATATTCAAAATTTAATAATTAAAATAACAAGGTTGTATAGATTTCAAAGTATTATGAAAAAAGAAAATACACTAATATTAGACAAATATAAAGGAAAGGCTCCAGGTAAATGATGACAAAAATAAAATAAAAAAATAAGACGGAGTATAAAATTGAACACGAACAAGGCATAAGAAAAAAAATCAACAAATCGTTATTTTTTCGATTAAATTAAAAAAAGCTTAGATATTGTATCTCCTGAAAACAAATAAATACGTAACTTTGCGAAAGGTTATCATCAGTCAATTAAAGAAAAATTCTTAGCGCATGTCTGTAACTCTACATATCTAAATCAATAAAAGAAACTATTAAAAATTAAATGATTTACCAATAGAAATTACATGCTAGCCCATATCAAACAATTCAGTTTCAGTGAGCCCTTGCATTTCTCTTATACTCTGTGAAATTTCAATTACTGTTTTCAATTATCTAGGAAATAATAGAAGTGAAAATTATACAGAAGTTACTTTGTGAGATATGAAATATAATCTTATATACCAGACTAATAAGTAATCGAATAGCAAATTAGAAAAGTAATGAGTAACGCGTTTTAACCCTAACAAGGAATCTCTTCAGATAAATAAAGAATTTATCCATGAAAAAAAACGCTAAAAATAGAAACAAAAGTAGCAGAAACAGGGCCGCTAATTGTGTCTAAATACACAGAATGCCATAAATATTAACGTATAAATTCCTAAGTAAAAGTTATTGTACATGTACATTTATTCATTTCAATATAAAATATCAAAATCTCTTCATATAAGAATGGTTGTATACATAAAACCTGATTAATCTGAAGAAATTTCTTCCAGCACGTTGCTTTTATTTTGTGCAATATGGCATTAAATTACCCGCTGTACAATATTTTAATATAAGCTTTTTTTACCACAATTATTAGAATATAATCTCCTATACTAAATATAACTTAGACAAATTATTGACGCAATTCTCTAAAACGTTTATATGTTAGAAGAGATGAGTTAAAACAATAGACAGTCATAGCCACCATGGCTGTTGTTGTTTGCAGGATATGGACTTCCGGTATCATTGTTAGTTCTTTCTTAATTATTATTTCATGGACTTCACATTGAACCCAATCGAAAAAGTACCAGATAATGTGACTTTATAACGCGATTCAGATGTAATACTCTTCTAAGTTGTCTCTGGTGTGTTTAAAAGTTAAATGTCTGATGTTGTCAAAATCATTCTGTATTAATGATAAACAAATTGCATATAAAGGGGACATTCAGCATATATGTCTTCATTACACTGTTTCCAGATAGAATTAATGTCTTGTATTTCCTCAATGGAGAGATTACCGAAGTGCTTCTGCTAAAGAGTATCACTAATAAACTGAACATACATAATAAATTAAAGCATCAAAACCCATTTACATACTTTGATTATTTGTCTCTGCGACAATTGTTTTAAGAGATATACTTTCCAAAAGTTAGTTACATATTAAAAAGAAAAAGATGGCAAGAAATAAAAAAATAAATAAATTTGACAATATGTGCCATTCTATAGTTTGAGCCGAAATATACGGGGATTGTTTACGATTCTGTGTAATTGTGTCTGTGTCTATAGGTTCGTCGTATTAATCAGCGATAGGATGTGTGGAATGGTGTTTTCTTCACCCACTTGACCAAAGTGAAAAATAATAAATACAGACGTCAGTTGACAACAAACCGGATATTGAGCGTTTCTGGTCGCAAATCTGTAATAGCAATCACGCCAGGAATTAATGGCGGTTATGATCTCCTCTTAGAAGCGGCAAATTGTCCTGAAGTAGTTCCAGGCCTGCACTTAACGGTTTGCATTCCATTACTCGATGTAGTTCTGATGCTTCTCGTTGGAGCTGCCAGCCGCACATTGTGATATAAAGAAGAGCGGAGATCAGGTAGGAGAAGACCATATCGCAGGTATCAGATGGCTTCTTAATCTAAGATGTCAAAAATTGGATAATCTGTACAAAGTACCAATTATCGAATTCCGAGTAAGTATATTGGAAATAGGTTCGAACTACTTATTTCTTGTAGAGGGATACATTTGACTTTTCTTTTCCTTGTGTTATGGGAACTTAGCCGTAATAATAATGGACTATTCCTGACATTATAAATACTGCGCCTCTCAAGAGGTATCAGGATATTGTAAAACGAAGAGAGATAATTGAGAGCATATTGTAAGGACATTGGAATAGTGATACTTGTCGAGACAACATAGTACACTCTAACCAAATCTGATAGTCATTACTAATACTTCTACTTCTTTGTATTATATTTCTGTTGTAATATATCTTTGTATTCCATACCTGAGTTTGTATTATTCTTTCATTGGTTCTAACCTTGGACCATCACAGTGGTACAAGGAACTTGGACCATAACACCTTGCCAGCTTACAACGAACATTTGCCAGTTTTTGATGCTGCAACACGAATAAGAATATAAATGTAACGTATGGTTTAATGTGTCGTATTGGTGGAAACAAGGTGTGCGGCTCGTTGTGTATTTACATATGCGTGCTTGGGGAAAATAACGTACACATATATCTAAGGTTTTCATCGGTTAATGCAAAAGAAAATATATTCCCTAATTGAAGTCATTCATGAGAGGTGTAATTAGGATCAGTTGCAAGGAAATCTTTCATCACACCTATTCTCTTGTCCCTATTCACGTAAAGAGATCCCGCGAATTTCCAGCGAAATATCACTCTCCCCACATTTCTTTCTCTCGCACAACAAGGCAGATCATCAAGTACAGAAATTAAGATAATTAATAGACTTACTGTGGGGTGTCACAACCGATATATATTTTATAGAGTTTAAGCAAACAAGCAGTTAATAAGTATAAGCGAGTACACGTGCTGTGTCTTGATTGGATAATACAGCACCCCCATAACTGTTTAAATTAACTCACACATTGAGCATGTCATTGGATAATGCGTAACGTATCACCACTGAGATCGTGTGTCGCTATCGAGGACTCTTTCGGTAATTTATTTCTTTATTCTTTGTACTGTTCAAATAGCATCGATAATAGCAAGATAATTGAGTAAGAAACATTGCATTTAAACAACCGTCTTCACCGTTAACAGATAGACTCATTTTAATATTATCTTTCTTTCCATTCTAACATTTTCATCTTGGCATTTTTTACCAGTTAATATTTGATGGAAATAATTTATGATCAAGTGAAACAACAGTTGAACAAAATACTAGTCTCTTCATAATAAGAGTTTAACGAGTTTTCAGACTTTGGAAAAAATATATAGCTGTCATTCATTTGAACCTAGTTCGATTCTTGGGCAGAACTATGAAAATGGATCCTCTGAATTCTTCTAATATCTTGCCACATGTTAATTCTTGAAAACCTGAAGTTTGCTAAGAAAATGGATAGATAGATAGCATCCAGTAACATAGATCGGCAACGAGATATATCAGAGGGAAAAGAAAGAAAGAAAAAAATGTTTTGATTTTACGGACTATAAGCCTTTTTCTGGTTATTTCAAACCAGAAAATATTTTTAGATTGTAATGATTTTTACTGAAATAAATCCTACTAATTAATCCATTACTGCAAAGGGGAAGAGGTGGATCAATACCTTTCCGAAGAGTATTTGCATGTAAGTGAAAATGATCAACTCCACTGGATCTGGAACTCGGCTCTCCAATTTCCAATTCCGAGCCGTTCTTCATTACACCACCCGCACCTTCAAGCTTAAACCACTCGGTATAATCAATTTCTAAGCCCAGCTTAGATGTTCACAAGACCCTTAAACCACTTGGTATTCCCAAGTCATAATCCAAAATACTACTGAACATGATCGACCTTCGGGTGATTCAATGTTATAGAACCGTAAACCGAAAGAAATGAACTGAAGGATTTAAATATGTGTGTAGAATAGATAGATAGATAGATAGATAGATAGATAGATAGATAGATAGATAGATAGAACAGCTCATGATGAGACAGAAAAAATAGACTGAAAATATTTATAGAGTGAAGAATATGAATATAGATAGGCAGATAGATAGGTAGATAAAATGCAGTAGCATGAATTACAATTGAAATATACAACAAGAATGATAAAGATAGATATAAATAAATAATGAATGAATGAATGAAAGAAACAAAGAAAGAAAAGGATCGAACATATTTTCAGTGTATGGATAGATAGATAGATAGATAGATAGATAGATAGATAGATAAGCACAGAATGAGATAGGTATGAATTGTCTGGGAAAGAAAAAACGATAGATAGATAGAAAGATAGAATACTGTAACTGATATGGAGATCTTTCTTTCCGCAAGGTTTATTTTCAAGTTTCGTTTCCTTGCAACACACCTTTTCGAATTTTTGAAACACACCGACACGAAAGAGAATTGTAGCTCACCTACAGGTCAAAATATGCATTCCTTAAATACGGATTACAGGGGGGGATTGTTTCACTGATTACATAAATGGCGATATGCTCCGACATATTTTAATCATTCATTTCTTAACGGAGTAGTGGGAAATAAAGGATAAATGTATTCTCATAAAATGGCAGTAGCAGAGGTTATTTATATTCAGCTCGTTCTGAGGACTAGACATCAATTGCAAGAAGTCTGAATACATGCCTATTGGCAAATGGAAAAACCTAACAATCAAGTTACAATTATGGAGATACCAGAATCAAGCAAGTGCAATAATTTAAATATTTGGGAAATGTTTTAGAAGGTGACGGACAGTGGGACAGAGAAATCGGAAAGGGGCTTTGAGATAGCAAAATATGTCTTTCAATAGCTAAACAAATTATTAAGAAACAGAAAAATTTCGTTAGAAACAGAGAAAAGAATAATATAAGTCTTCCTATACGGCAGTGAATGCTGAACAATCACCTCACAGATGAAGAAGAGACTTGTATCAACAGAAATAACTTTCTACACAAGATCGCTGAGTATTCCATGCCCCGAAAATATGAGAAAGGGTGATGATTTAGCGAAAATGGAAGCAAACAGGACATTCATATTTAATATCAGAATGAGACAGAGAAAATTTATACCAGAACAAAGAACGAAAGAAATCTTAGAAAATGTTTATACTCACAGAATAGTCTGAATACAAGCGGGGCAGTGGAAATCAGAATATAACCTTCAGCTAGAGTAAATGCATGGCAGTGATTTGTAGAGATAACAAAAAAAACTGAATGTTATCTACACAGCAAAGAAAATTGTGGAGAGCCACGATCTCCGGCTCCCTGAAGGGATACGACATATAGAAGAATAACTGAATAATTGTATACGACAAGTTAATCCAGACATTTCTAAAACAACTGGACACATTTTATCCATTAAGAAACGCATAAAAAAGATTGAATAATTCAATTTGCAGCTGAAATAAATAAAAAGAATATTCTGATAGAAATGAATAAAGACAAAACGTTTTTGTTTTGTTTTTTTTCGCTGGCTTTATCTTTCAATAATAGTCATTTTTTATCTATAGTTTTCATTGCGAAGGTGTACCTGTTTGTGAAAGATATCGACGAAAAGTTGGATAAGAGATAAGAGCAAAACACACAATCGTGATTGCTAATAAGAATTTTACACTCGCGGGATTCAAAGTAATATGCTGGCCAAAAAGTAGGAGTAAGACAGTCGAAACACGATCATTATGTGATGTAGCTACTTCATTTTTTTACTGAATATACTGGCAGGTATGGTTGTGTTTTTGTGTTCAGCTATGATCTGAACACTAGGAAGTTGGGCGTGTTCTCCTTGATTAATGAATTGCAAGTCTACCCTCAAAACTTGTGTTCATAAAATGCCCTCTCTACAGGGCTCAGAATAAGGCAGTATTTTCCCACCTGGTTTTACTCAATTAGCTGTAGGTGACGCTCTTGAAGCCTATGAATACGCAACCATATTCTCTCTCTTTATCTTTTAGTCCTCCTTAGCTCTGGCTTTCAGATGGAGCAGCTTGATAAGAACGCTGCTGACTAGGAGCGTTCGCTTCATTGGTCCTCTGTTGACCCTTGGACACTCTCAAAGACGCATATATACACACGTGTCTGACACGCATACACAAACCAGCACATTCTTCTTATAGCTAGTTTTGAATTTTCCTTTTCATTACATTTGTGTACACATGTAATTCATTTTCTTAATAGCATGCATTGTCATTGTCCGCCAATATTGTTTATGCGATAAATGTTACAGGACCGCTTAAATATATAATATCAAAAGACTTGATACATAATGGTGACATATTCATTCCCAAACATACACGATCCGAAAACAACATCAGGAAACAGGAAATAAGTGACATTGGAAGTCTTCATATACGTGAAACAACGCTCATAACACAAAGTCCATAGTATTGATGACAGGGCATTAATTGAGACACTGACACTCGATCAAGACAGATAGGGGTGCTGGCCAGACCCTCATCAGCGACCACACACCACAAACGGTCATGGAACTGATGACAGCGATGATGATGATGATGACGAGGAACTGTTTCAGGAGGAGGATTTTGTTGATCCCGCCAACCTAACTATTGGCATCATTTACCAGCAGTTGAGTAATGACTAAAATATGTTGGAAATGAACGGACTGAATTGGATTTTTTTACCACGAATGTGATTGGATGGTCAATACAAAAACTTAGATTTTAGTTTTAGCTCAATATTTAAAAGAAAATTGAAATTCGGGGTACGACAAAGTCGCTTTCTCTATGCTTTTCATTCACTCAGTCATTTGGAAGGTGGTTTGATTTGTTGTGTTTTATGGCATATCCACCTCAGTGGGTTATTTAATGCCGACAACTTTTTTCTTTCTTTTCCGGTAATATTTTGTTTTGTCAAAAGTTTATTTCTGGTAATATTTTTTCTTCATAATTTTATAGCTGGTAATGCTATTTTAAAACATGGATAGCTTGTAATACTATTTTAAAACATGTATATCTGGTAATATTATTTTAAAATATGTATAGCTGGTAATACTATTTTAAAACATGTATAACTGGTAATACTATTAAAACAAGTATAGCTGGTAATACTATTTTAAAATATCTATAGGTGGTAATACTTTTTAAAACATGTATAACTGGTAATACTATTTTAAAATATGTATAACTGCAGGACGTGGATGTAGTTTATCGTCATACCCAAGACACGGATGTAGTTTATCGTCGTACCCAAGACACGGATGTAGATTATCGTCATACCCAAGACACGGATGTAGTTTATCGTCATACCCATGAAGACATTTGGAAGAGGCTAAAGAGATAACATCCAAGAATTCCCTTTGACTGAGAGCAGATGAAGAGATATGTAACCGTAATTTCATTTTCATATCTTCATACTCTGCAAGTGATGCAAGAAAATTCGCAACTTCAATGAAAGAAGCGAGCGAATGGATAGTTTACCGACATAACGTGACATAAAATATTCCGGTTGCAATGCCCATATTCATAACCTCACAGAGTTTAAGAATTTGAGTAGCACGTAATGCATTTCTCCAATGCACCTGAATTGAAAAATAGATTGTTTTTATTATTTGTTGAGATCCCAGAAAGAATTAAGAATACATTTAGCGGAATCAGGTTTTATGCACGCGTGCATTAAATGTTCGCTCTCGAAGAAAATTTATGACGTCATGTTATATTGGTAAGCGCTTCTAAATGGAGAACCTTCTAATAATTGCTACCATGTTATCTTTAACTGCAGCTCACACACAAGAGATCATGAAAGTTAAGATCTGTTAAGAGATATGCGGCTGGATACTATCTTGGTTAATTCCACATTGGCGACATGTCGATATTACACAAGGCGCCAAAGGAAAAGAACCATGCTTACTTAATTTCACTTTAATATATATTTCTCCATGACTGTTTATTCAGAATGATTATTGAAAATATTTCAATGGGCGCGTGGCCATGATAACTTTAGAACGTTTGCTTTCTGATCATGATAACCGGGTTCGAATCTCACCAGGGTCGATTAGTCAAGAAGCTGATATCTTGATATTACAAGCCTGGAGAGAGAATTCCAGCGTGTAGAATGCTTGTAAGGCGCCTGAAAACAATACCACAAGCTGATAAAAAAGCCTACTTTTAATCAATTAAGCACCTGTAAGGCGATAATGCCACTAAGATACAAGGGGCTTCTGTGAATGAAAAAGAATGAAAATACTTTAGGAAGATCGGAAACCCAATCCTAAACAGCAAACAAAGGAACAGCTCTACTATTCAAAAGACCGAGGATGTGTCTGACCTGGACGATAGGCAACTTTAAATACTCCTTTCACTTCCTTATAAGTGAAACTGAATAGACAGAATTGTTCGTTGATGGTTGTGCAAACATGAAGTCACAAGACTTCCAGACCTAGTCTTTGAGCCTATTAACATTGGTCAAATTTCTGATATCGCTAGATGATGCCCTCTCTCCCTGAAACTGTAACTAAGGTCCGGTCAGCGTCTTTGTAAAATAAACCAGATGTTGGTCTGTAGAAGTTGAACAAATGGATAAAGTTCTTGAACAGGTGTCTTCGAAAGAGATTGTCTAATGACAAAACAAACTGGCATACTCGAATACGAACGGCTAGCCCTTATTGAAATGCTATGTATCAGCTGTCACCATCATAACTGTGCTTGATTTCTCTTAGTAAGTTATTAAATTAGTTATCACGTGCCCTGCCTTTACCTAAGATAAATAAAGACGTAAAAATATATCTGAGACGCTGTTTGTTTTTTAAAAAATGTACGTGGTCTGATAAAAAAAAATATCGGGGCAGGTGATATAAAAAAATACCTATAACACATATTAATACGGCATTTTATCTCCCTGGAAGTAGTCCAATTAGCAAGCAACAAACTTTATCTAGCGTTCTTTCCATGAGTTAGTGTCTTTGTGGAACTCCTTTATGGGGAGAACGAGCAGTTGTTTCGCCGAATTGTCTTGAATTTCCTCTAGGTTTTGTCCCTTTCAAGTGGAATTTAATTTTCATACTAAACATTCGCTAGGAGTGATATCTGGGGAATACTCTGGATGTCGGACTTGGAGAATATTCTGCTTGGAGAAAAAATACTTCACAATCCATTGTCGCTGATGGAATCCGTGTGGTGTGTTAAGATGGCTATACCCTGTACATTTTCATTCCATGCACAGCTATAAACAAAAGATGTGCGTGACAACGTTAGAATTTTTAGTGTTTGTGGAGAGTTCAAGGTCAATCTCAGCCAAGTTGCTTCAATTTACATACATTAGCTCTTTTACCATAACAGCAGTTCAGATACTTTTTGATCAGATCTCGTATAGATAATGATAAGTAAAAAGAATTTATTAAATATCAAAAATATTTTTCTTAAAAAACGTTTGTCAGGAACTTAAACTTCACTGTTATCACTCTTTTTAGTATTGATGCCTGTTTTCT